CGAGTCGCCGGGCGATGTTTCTGGCGTCTCTGTACCCGCCCACTCTCGCGTATTGACTGCTGCGCGCAAACGACTATGGAGATCGATGTTCCTAATGAGCTGTAAAGACAGCGAGTCCTACACCAAGGTTATAGGTGTATGTCGCTCCATTACACTGCTACTGGTAATGGGAATGTGCAAAAAACACCAATGAGCCACAAGGAAATAAACAAACTACTTTTTAAAGGGAAATACTTAAGCTAATTTTTGCTAGCATAAGTTCTCCAGCAGTGATTTAGGTACTTGCTGTCAATATATAAATACACAAATACGAAGGCCGCCAATGAAGATGTTTACCGCAGCCGAGAACGAAACGTCAGCGCCAAGTGGACCGCGGTCTCTCAGCACGAACTCAATCATTACTATTGTATGGTGGGAGTTTTTTAGAACTTCTCGAGAGAGTAAATTTCAAGATAATTCCCTCCCACGATGAATGATCACCCTTAAGCTCTTGAGAAATGAGATTTGAGCAGTGAGTCCTTTAAACTCTTAACAATTCTTTGTAAATCTGATGACAAGGTCATATTACATTACTATCGTTTCGAATTCTCGTCTCAAGTAATGAAATCAGCAGAATCCGACCAAACTATTCCTCTTTGTGGATAATATTACTCTTTTGTGAAGTAGGAGAAACCTGCAGTTGACTACAAATACAAGTACTCGAATATTGCAATATTCCTTGAACAAGATAATCAACTGCACTAATTCCCATGGTTTTATCGTATCGAAAATGAAGTATTTTTTTATTTTCAATACTACCAATTTACAATCTGTTCACTTGTAACAATAAGTAAATGTTATACAATATACAAGTAACTATTAAATGAATGTAAACGTTAAATCTAATATATGTTCACGCTTCAGTCTGTACACGTGTTCACCATTGTTCAAAAACATTCGCACAAAGTAGGTTCGTACGTTGCTCAGTCTCGTCTGTTGCCTCTTACTTCGCTCGCTGAGAGTCTCTGCCATAATTGAGATGTTCAAATCTGAGAACAAATTATTGTTGGTTACGAACCACGGCGCGATGCAAAATATCTCAATGTTTTTGTTTCAAATCTCAGGACCTCCAGGTTTGACTTACTATGCATTATAGTTGTTGAGGTGCTGGCTGCGCCCTATACTTCTATTCCATCAGCCCACGTTGGCTTGAGTATTGCTTTGAACAGAAATATTGTGTTGTGTAAGGAGTTCTGGGATATTTGATTAAGTAGCCATGATAATTTGCTTACTTTCATTTGTGGTTCATTCCTCTTTTTCATGATATGGGGTTTCCAGGTTAAGTGGTTAGCTAGATATAAACAAAGATACCTCACAGCAGTTGTTACTGAAAGTGCTGACGAGTTTAGTTTTACTTTTGGTCACTGTTCCTGTCGAAGTGGGACGGTAATATGTTGTGAATTTGCAGTGTTTATAGTTACTTTCCATTGATTCGTCCATTCTTCTATCTTGTCCAGGTGCGCTTGCAGGTGTTGTGATGCTCGAGTTGAGTCCTTGTTGAAAGCTACGGTAGCTGTGTCGTCAGCGAATTAGGCCATCATAGGGCGTTCTGTTGTTGGTATGTCAGAAGTATATATTACACACAGTATTGGTCCAAGGGTACTTCCTTGAGGGACACCTGCGCTCATTGGTTTAAATTCAGAGAAAACATCTTGGTATTTAATTCGGAAAAATCGACTGGCTAGGTATGTTTCAAAAAATGATAGAATGGGTATGGAATTGAATTTGAATAACAGAACTTCGTGCCAGACTCTGTCAAATGCTGGTTGTATAAAGAAAGGTTATGGTTTGGAAGTTTAAAAAGCACACAAACTCTACCTAAATTTCAGTACACAATCTTATAACCGGTACAACATTACAAGAATTAGCCAAGGAAGCGTTTTCGTTCATAACATTCATCTTCAATACTGTAATGCAACGCTATGGACGTATGCGCAAGTGATAGCCATAGAAAACCTGGAAAACCGATTACAGAAGCTGCAGCATACATACCAATAAACTTTTACCAGTTTTATCAAAGGTCTTTGAAAAACTACTTATACAGCGGCTTAAACCAATAAGAAATAATATACCTAAGTTTCAATATGAATTTCTGTAAGATCATTCAACGATAGATCAGACACACCGAATAGTAAATGTAATAGTAATAAAATTGGCTCCCGTCTCATAAAGGCATTGAAAGTAATTAAAAATAAAATATGGCTGCTATTTCAGCAACAAGTCACGAAAAAAATATCAAGGGACACTTCTTGATGTTAAAAGAGTTTAATGGTATCATTGTTTAACATCGGGATGGCATATAGACAATGGAAGTCCACATCACCATAACTTCGTCTCGTTAGAAAATTAGTCACAGAAGAAGACTTTCCAAAACTCAACCTCAGCAGAAGCCACCACGTGATCCTCACTAGTTTAAGGATTGGATATTTTAACTTAAATCAAGGTCACCTGATGACGAAAACCAAAAGCCTTGTCCATTGTGTGGAAATACATATCAACCACTTCTCCACAGAATGCCCAGGTCTAGCAAATGAAAAACATCAATCAAATTACAAAAAAGATTTCTAAATTATTTTTAAAACAGTTGAAGAATGTAAGAAACTCCTCAAAATGTACTAATTGAACACATGAAACCATGTGTGTAATCTATTCTAAACAATAACATATAAAAATGTAAACCCTTTGTGGTCGCTGATGAGTCGGTCATTTTAAAGCGACCTAAAATAAATAAATGAAAAAAGGCACTTGAACAAGCTTTTATACATTATTGTCTTAGTGATCACGTTACTAGTAAATGTAAGAATTTGAGCGACGTGATTACTGTAACCTAGATAATTCGTTATTCCATATCTAGTTGTGGTTTTGTTAATTATGATGTGATCTATTGATTTTTTAAATTTAAAAGTATTCCGTTTAAACACCATTCTGACATTCACAGTGATATCTAATTTAAAAGAATTAAGTGAATTGAGAAACTGCTCTTTTTCGTGAGATTCACCCAGGAAATTCTTAATGTTTCATGTGTGTCACATCACTGTATATGCAAAGTAAGATACTTTTTCGCGTAGTAAGATGTACGAATGTATTTACAAAAATATTTTCAACTGCATATCAATTGAATATTTGAAGATCGGACGAAGAAATAAGAATATTCGCGTGGCAAATTGAGAATATTCTCATTGGTCTATGCAGCTGAAGTGAAGCTTATACAACTGTCTGACAATGAGAGCTTTAACTTACCTCGTTTGCGTGCTGCCGGTATCGTTGTTTATGAAGTATTTTAGTTCGTGATAATTATTTTTCAAACTTAAGTTTCGATTTCACGCGTAGGTGCAAAAGAAATGCGGCAGCATCGTTTCAGTTGACTAAAGCTTTGCTCTACGATAAAACGTTCCCGAGGTAGAACTGCAAGTATGTGTATGCCGTTGTATGTTATAAACCGTTATTATGAGTTCAGATATATGAGCTGTATGTATGACGTAATTAAACCTGGACAATGCTATAACCTGCATTTCGTCGAAGCCAGGCATGGCAATGTTCATTTGCATTATTTCGTAAGTATCTGAACTTTACCATATTTTGGAGTCTTAAACCAATTCGAGCGAGTAAGATTCAGACTAGCAAATCTATTGACATTTACGTACAATCTATTATTGTGTGAATACCCTTTCCTATTAATATACTTATCCCCAAGGATCGTATTTTTTTCTTTTAAAATAGAAATGTGTTTAAAACGCATGGTGCTGATAGAGGAAATTAACACGTATTTGTTCTGGCACTTAATTTTTTTATTGTTTCTTTTCCCTTCGGGTTGTGTAAATTTAATCCATTTGGGACAATTTCTATTATACGGTCCATAACCTCAACAACGATTTTTGAAACTTTGCTCTTCAGATTCCTACTCACAACAAAAGTACCATAATCCCAGTCTTAAAATTGAGGCACCTCAAGACCAAACTGAAAATGAAATGAGGATTTGCTCACGAAAAAAAGCTCGGTTTTTATTAATCTAGATGTGAGAATACTGTATGTACTTCACTGAGCTTGTGAAAGTATTTTGTGAACTTTGAGAATTAACTCATTTTTTTTAGAATATTCTCGAAACTTTTATTCATCCGCTACCGAACATGATCTCAGAAAATGCGAGTAAATAGCATTTGCTCATTTTTATTTATGACACCCATTGTTGTTTCTGTAATTTTCTAAAACGAAATGGCTCCAAATTTTACTTTCGCACTTCTTGCTCAAATTGAGCAACGCGCGCTTACGGGGAAGGGAGAGACTAGCTGAAGTAGTAGAAAGAGGCCAGGACATGTCGGGGTAGTGTTGGGCAAATGAGCCCACGCTGGGGGCGCTGGGCCGGGCGAGATTCGGCGGCGTTGGGCAGTTTGGGGCCGACCCGGGCAGGCTTGGACCTGGCAGGAAGGGATTAGGGGTGGGTTGACCGGGAAGAGACGGTTCTGGGGAACGGCGGGCGGCAGGGCGCCGCGGGCGCGGCTGTTGCGGCTGCAGAGCCTTGAGAGGCCGGGCGGCCTTGGCGGCAAGCCCCGGCGCGGCGCGGCGGCGGCGGCGGCCCGCAGAGCGGCGCGGC